AGTAGGGGATGGGCACAAAGAGTTCAGCTGAGGAAGAGGGGCGCTTGCCTGCACTGAGCTGAGGGGCTTATAAATAGCTCCCCCACTGGCTCGCTGAGGGGAGGCCTGGATTTCTGCTCGCCCCAGGGATTGGAAAGCAAAGATGAGCGCTGTGCAAATGTGCTGATGCTGTCTAGGATCCCTGTTGCCCTGGCCCACTGCTACATCATAGGGTGCTCAGTAGATGGAGGACACCCCGGGTTCGAGGGCTGTGCGACCCTGCGCAGTGTGGAGCAGTGGTGGGAGCCCAGGCTTGGAGCCAGGCTGCCTGGGTTTGCAGCCCAGCCTCCCCACGTGATGATCTGTGGCCTCGACTTCGCCTCTCCGAGCCTCGGTTTTCTTATCAATAAAATGGGGAATAGTGGCACCTACTCAGAGTGTTGGAAGCATTAAATGAGTGAGTCAGGCAAAGTACTTAGGAAAATACCTGGCATATAGTAAGTGCTCAATAAACCCAACCTATTATTAGGAAAGACCCATCTGGGTTACAAGATCATTGCTGTACAGTGAAAGGGGTTGGGTTAGATGAGTGATTCCCAGTTCTCTGGGGAAGGTTGTTACTTTTCAGAAGGAGCAAAGCCATAGAGAGGAAAGCTTGGTCAAACATTCAGGGGCGTGGCTTGCAGAAGATCTGAGTGTTTCCCCGAGGGGCCTGAGTGTACGGAGCTGGGTCACAGGACCAGAAACCAGAACATTCCTAAGACCCCTGGCTCCCACCTTATTCTGTGGCTCTGGGTTATCTTTTCAGTCTGGAGGGTGTGAAGTCCAGGGGAGTATCGGGCTGGATGAGGGAACCCCGAACCCAAAGCTGGCAGCTTAAGCCTTGGTGCCCGAATCGTACCTTGGGGTGAGTCCCAGGCCCTGAGGCTCCTGGATGGTCCTGCATCCAGATGCTCCCTGGGGCGGGGGGAGGGCGGGGATTTGGGTGGAGGAGGCCTTGGGGGGCAAAGGGCAGGCAGGCAAAGCTCCTTGCCCACTGTGTTTACTGAACTGCACTGAATGATGACTAAATGCCAAGCGCT